GATTTATATGCTTATTCCTAGATGTCACAGGCACAGATATGGCCTGTCAACCATAGACTCCTCTTACCTGCGGGTAGCTTTTCCTGTGCATAAGAAGGAGTGCTGCATGCCTTTCAGCGCATCAATGTAGTGGCTGTATATGTGCGTGCTCTCATAGCACGTGTGGCACATGGGCGAGCTCTTCTGCCACGTGTAATGCTTGCATCTCGTACACGCTTTGGGTTCCTCTATATCCCTCGTATCCCATTCACACACTGTCCCCACTTGTTCCTCCTTGGTAGACCATACTATGGGGTCATACGGATTGGCTATGGCCAGGACCTTATCCGCCTGACTCAAATCCAACCCCATTCGCTTAGCGACCAATTCAGTACCAGGCTCTGCGAAACAAATTCCTCTTACCGACCCGATTTGATTTGTATCTGGCCCAATATTATTGGTATTCAATAGGGAGTGTTCCATATTTGTCGCATAGTCGAGCGTAGTAAGGGATGTCAGGCCACACCCCAGGGAATGCCCAGTGAATGCCAGGTCAATCAGTGTGTTTTTATCCTGAGTATGTGATCAAGAACAATATAGATATATCAGAGGACCACCTGTTCCATTGATATTGTGAGTGAAAAGATAAGCATCTATTACATTGACATTGCGAGAAAATAGGTACATATCTCACATATCTTCGTCTTCGATTTCAAGTCCACTAAAGCTCTACAGAAAAAACGATATCATACAGATAAAACAAATGAAGACCGCTGGTGGCCTCGCAGTGCTTTGTTTGATCTGTCTAGATAAACAGTAATCCCCATTCATTTCCCCAGCCCTTGCCAACGAGACTTGCACCACAGTTGCTTATAGTGGTTTAAGCTCGTCAATCGATGATACTCTGGTTGCACCACCCAAGGCTAGAACCAGTGCAGACACGCCTTGCGAACAACTTTGATGCAATCACTCGTACTGTATACACAGTTGACCAGGAATATACCGCATAGTCAAACTTTACTTACACAATCGATTCAAACTACACAACTAACACACAACTAACACAGAACAAGGCGTTCGTATCGCACTGCATGCAATGGTCAACATACCTGCGATCGACCCAGCTCGTCGATTGTGGTGGATACAAAGCTCTTGGCTTGCGAAATGTAGTCCAGGGTTTCATTGCTGAACTTCTTGCATGTGTCTGACAAGGGCAAGTCCCACAGCACAGCGTCGGCGCACGTGTCCGATGCGCTGGTGGTACCCCTGGACGGCAGTACGATAGTAGCGTGAGATTGGCACAAGTTGCAACCAGAACAAACTCAATTTGAGCAATTTGGCACAGAAAGTCTAAATACCAAATTTTCGATTCGTTTTGCCGGTAACGTTCGAGTGAGGTCGGTCCTAGATACAATATTAACAACATCGCAGGAATAATATATTAGAACATGACATAGGTATGTGGCATACAATATATATATATATATATATGTATAGCTGCTACCTTAAAACATCAAGCCATGTCTATCACCCCTCTCTCGCGTCACGTGTACACTGTAGAACTTTGATGAGTGAGCATGGCTGTATCTTCTAGTGTGAAGCCAGCTATATGTATACACGCAGTGCATGCGAACGCATGACAAGTAACCTATCCGTAAATTCCGTACCCTGAGCTATAAATTGATATATAACTTGCCTTATTGTTGACATGGATGCTCAGGAAGTGCCGACTAGGCGACAACACGTGCGCAAGTATAACACGTGCACAAAGTAATATAACCGCCTGCCGCACGTAAAAGTTGAGGATTTCACATACACACATACCTGAAAGCAATCAAAACCTGGGTGGGTACTGTGTTGTGTTGATACGCATACGCGTGCAAACCATCTGTAGGTGTGGCTGATCCAACGAGATGAAACCCGTGCACATCGTAACCCGTACAACCGGTGTAGGAGATAGCAGTGGCGATTGTAAAAGGCTGAAGCAGGGCCTTGAGAATCGATATTTCTGACGGATCGAAAAAAATTGTGTTGAAGCATTGATGCGAACAAATGCTTTCAATATCACGGTTTCATTTTTAGGATTTAAGACTTAATTGGATTGGTAACGACGCGAGCAAACAGCATTTGTCGAGATCTTGCGCTATAACACGACTGGCAAACGAAATCAATCAGTACAAATACATGAGGCACATATATGTGAGAGTACAATGTAATCGTCTTTATCAAAGCTGGGAGAGTCTATGAGTGAAAATATACCTTGCACAATCATATGCTTCATAGACCCTTTAAATCCGCAAACCGGTGTGTGGCACTAAGATCGAGTATAAGTGAAGTGCGAATTTGTCAGCTACGTAAAGTTTCGTTCGCGTATTGTGTATAGAAGGGGGTTATCAGTATTGAATAGATCAACACACGTAACGAACATACTAATCCTACGGCGACCGATCACACAATCAAACAAGAACCTATACCACACATTCAGATAGAGTAGAAATATTTTATTCATAACTTGAGGTTTGAGACTACAAAGTCATAGGAAAACTGTCGTGGTCGACATACCTGTGTTTGGGCTAGATATTTTGTCCACGACTTCCGCCCATTTTAATCCCCTTTCCGCTACTTGCAAAGACGCACTGATTTGGTTTTGGTTTTGTAAATCTTCACACGGATGTCTATTAAAAGGTAGAAGATACCTCAGAACATTGACCAAAGAGTTTAAAAAAAGCATCGCAATAGGTAGAAGGATTATAAGTTTGAAGACTCGTCAGAATGGATACAGTTTATATTATCTCGCCAGATATTGTATTTACTGTCTTAGGTCTCTTGGTATTTACCATTGAAACCATTCAGTTTGGGTCGTCTCGCTCCACTCTGCAGACTCCGCAGTCTGCACATTATTACTATTATTTTAAAAAAGAATGATGACAAGTTTTGTCTCTGCGATAGCCAATCAATACCCAAGTCTCAATTTGTATTTACTGTACATATTTATTTATTAATTATTTATAATGTACAATTGTATTTACATTGTTGTAAATACCATAACCTTCTATATATATATTTTAAATACATATTAAAAGATACAAAAATACATTACATTATATTTTACTTTTTAGAGGGACCCAACTTCCAAAATTCGAAGTATAAAGTCAAAAGAACAGAGGGGACCCATATTATTTTTTCAATAATTTACTTCCTATAGGGCAAAGACCCGTCCAAACCCAACCCACTCCAAACCTTGTACAATTCATGATCCTTGAGTGTCAATTAAAAAATATACAATGTTTTCGATGCATATTATATATCCTTCGCTGCATCTTCCGCAGCTTCTTTCGCGAATGATTGATTTTTTAGCGTTGTTTTCCTCCTCAACGCATACCAGGTCAGGGCTACGAGTCCGATCACGCCGAGTATGGCTCCGATGGTGGCTGCAATTATTGCACCGACACTCAAGTTGTTATTGACTTGTGACCCTTCTGAGAGTTCCACAGTTTTGCCTGAATGGAAAGATAGAAATAAATAATTCGCTAAGTACAAAGCAAGAGTAAGATAAAATTTGGCGTATATGAGTCCATATGCGTGCATCTGGCCGGCTTCACATATCGTTGCAATACTGATGTCATCACGTTCATATCATTGAAAAGGACAAAAAGGTAAAATTTATTTCAGTACTTTTACATATTTATAAACATACTTCCATCAGAATTGGTGAAGCTTTGGAACCCTACTGGCTGCATAGCGGCAATCTGTCCTTGCGATAAGCCAAATATGGCACTCTGGCCAACATCATCAAGTAATACGACAATTGTGTATGAACCGTTCTCAAGCACACTACCGGATACGGTGATCGATTCTTGTGCGACACCCAGAATTTGAGCTAGGCTGCTGACGAACGTGGGATACAATCTGCTTGAGATAGTAAATGTTGTCTTCGACCAAGTGTTCATATCAGGCTTAACTGTGTCACCCGTGTCTTCTTCATTGCCGGTATCAAAATTTGACCTACTGTCTGGATATGTTATTGGTAATATCTGTACAATTTCTTTTGTAAGGTCCACAGCAGTTGCACAAAGACCATCGTCACAAGTAGTTCCAGAAGGGCACGCGCTGCATGCTATACCGTATGTAGCATACTTTACACCCTTGAAATTGCCGCTGGGAGCATAGTTGCAAAGCGTACCATATTTCTGTGTGTACCAACATCCTACTTTGCGGGTATTATCTGACATTACTTGTGAGAAATGTCCATAAGTCTGCCCTGCACATGCATTCCTAATCGATTGACCGGGTAGTAAAGCCTGCGTGTCATCATCATTTGCCGCCAAGGCTTCTCGCTCACTACATTTTACTGATCCCCACTCATAGTCTACCCAGGCATGTGCTGCACCAGCAGCATTACCACTGTACCAGTTCTCGCCCACTGAATTGAATTCGGGCACCCGGTTGTCATTAACAGCACACGACTTATAGTTCGCCGTTCTCGCGCTGTTGTGACCATCCCATTCACCATTTTTGGCGCGCTCGACGTACTGACGTGCAGCGCACTCCAGGTCGGCATCGTATTCTAGTTCAAACATGGCGACAGCATTGATAGTTCGTCTGAGCCTATTGTGCTCGCTGAGTATGGAATTGCGATATTCTTCCGTCATTTGACCCATAGTGATTTGGGCGAGCATGCCAAAACCCGTGGTTGTTACTGATAATCGAACCATTATACAACTTTTTAACTTGTCCTGTGTATTACCGTTAACTTGTTTTTTTCCAATTAGTAGTTTTTGGGGAGTTGTGAACTGAATGTGTTGGACACGTCGCCTTTATTTTATATTGTTTTAATGTGTAAAACTATAATAATTGCGATACTATCTGTAATCGAGAGGTTAATGGCAAAGCTATAACTACATTTATCGTAGTTCTTTGCGTAGGGTATATCACCTAGAGTCGAAGGTCAGGTGATTTCAGTATTTCTTTGTCGATGAAGCGATATATGCTCCATGGTTTAGTATACACTAATTAAAAACTCTGCAATTTTTTTATAGTTTTTACTTTTTTTAAAAGGGGGGATGTTGCTCGAGCGTCTCAAAAGAATTAGGCTATTCGCTATCACCACTATGATCTGATCAACAAGTATGCATTTTTTCAATATGTAAATAAATACATAATCTTGGCGTCATTAAAAAGGCGACAGTCAAAATCTCTATCGCTATCAAAGACAATCACCAAAATATCTATTCTCTCCCAGTCTCCCTCTGCCGTAAAAAAAAACACTCTGTTCTCCTGGTAAACAATATGTTTGCTCTCAATTTTAATTGACTTGTACTGTACTGAATTCCTTTGAAAACCGAAGACTAGCATACCAATCACCATCTTGATCACACACACAAGAAGTTTACCATCTAACCGTTTTAGGGTACGTTATGAGGATTTTTTTTTAAAATAGGTTTATTGTATTTATGTTTTCACAGTTTCACACTTTGTTTTTGGTTTTTGCTTTTGTTTTTTGTTTTTTTTTAAATAGGAAAACTTACAGCCCAAACAATATACATGAGCAAGTTATTTATTACACTCATTATAAATAAGTATTATTTACACTCATTATAAATTGTACCCATTTTTTACTTTTTAGTGCTTTTACTTATTTATTTATTTTTTAAACTAAAAACCAAAACGCATAGATTTCTAAACGTTACATTTGACTTTAACGTTTTCGTCCGTTGTGCCTCAGACACACACATGTGTAAACTATGGATATTGTTGTATTTACTTATATTTTAAATACGTCAATTATTTACATAACTTTCTATTTGGAAAATTTATCTTGGAATCTTGGAGTCTTGGACTGTAAAGCGTAAATATTTAACTGTAAACAGCAGCCACTAAACGTATTGCCCGAGTCAGATCTCTGTTGTTTTTATTAATAAAGTATTAGAAGCAGTATGTTATAGCAACATCCACGCATATTTCAGGAAAATACATACTGTATACTATCTCAATCAGAAGCACACAGGTTGTTATGCATACGGCTACCACCCTATCTAAGGCCCCTAAACGCAAGTACAAAGAGTTAGATGTTGATAAGAAGAAGAAGCTGATAAGTAAGATCAGGGCTAGTGGTTGGAGTTTTGATAGAGACGCAGTTGCAAACATGAAGTTTGCGATGGTGGAGGAGGCTGTGAAATCAGCAGGGAGAGAATATGATACATATATACATATATACATATATACATATATACATATAAACATATATACATATATACATATATACATATACATATATACATATATACATATATACATATATACATATATACATATATACATATATACATATACATATATATACATATATACATATATATATACTTATACATATACATTTACATATACATATACATATACATATACATATACA